AGAATGATACTAAATCTTAATGTGGTTCATGCCACATAATATATTTCCAAAGGCAATACATATATAAACATGTAATACAAATCTCAGTAGTTGTCACAGAACAGGAAATTATTTCTTTATGCAAAATGATATTTTAAATAATTTCTAAATTGGACTACATCAAAATAAAAATTTTATTCATCAAATGGCACAGTAAAGCATGCCAAGAGAAGCAACAGAATGGGAGAAAATAGTGATCTCACACCTAACCAAACTTATTTTTAAAAATTATTTTAAAACACAGGGTCTAACTAGCTCATGATCCTCCTACCTCCACCTCCCAAGTAGTAAATAAATATTTTTAATTAGCAAAAACAAAGACCTTATAAAAAAAAAAAAGTAGACAAGATGCTTGAACAGATACTTAAGATGGGAAATTTCTAAATGTTCAATAGATGTATGAAACATGCTTAATATCTTTAGTAAATGGGAAAAATACAAAATAAGACATCAAATAAAGAAAACTAAAAAGTACCAGTAGGGACCAGCAGGTGGCACAAGGGTTATGTTGCTGGACTCCCACATAGTTGACCATGGTTCAAGTCCAGGACCCAGAGGCTTAAAACTCACGCCTGGCAAGTATTGCATGCAGGCTCAAGACCTTGAGAGGAGAATGGAGAAGAAGGGATTGCAGCGTGGCCATCCCCCCTGAGGGGTCATTTCTCACTTTCTGTCTCTCTGGTAAGTGCCCTACAGGTAAAATCTCTCTTAACAAAATAAAAGTACCAGTAAACATGCAAAACAACTGAACTCTCAGAACTAAAGTTACACACATTTTGGGAAATGGAAAATACATGATATGAAAGAATTATATATATATACATTACATATAATTAAAATATACATTACATATAATATACAGTAATACTACAATCTCCTTGCACATGACAAAGGGATAAACTCAAAGAACGGCACACATATATGTACTATGATAAGAGCTCATAAGTCCAAACATTTGAAACCAAGGGGGAGAAGGCTGGAAGTCATCATGGAAAAGATGAATGGGAAAGCATAGGGGAAGTGGTTTCTAGAGGTTAGCCATATTCTAAGTCTTATAGGTCTAATTAAAACAAATAGTATAGGGACCAGCAGTTAGTGTAATGGTTATGTCGGTGGACTCCCATGTAGTTGACCACGGTTTGCATCTCAGGCCCGGTGGCTTAAAACTCACGCCAGGCGCATGTGCGTGCGTGCTCACGCCAGGAGCATGTGCATGTATGCCCAAGGTCCCGAGAGGAGAATGGAGGAGAGGGACTGCAGCGTGGCCATCTCCCCCGGGGGGTGATTTCTCGCTTTCTATCTCTCTGTTTCTCTCTGTCTGTTGAGCGTACGCGACCTATAGCAAAAACTTCTCCCAAAAAAACCCAAATAGTATGAAACATAATATACGTTACATGAAATTGACATGTGATATATCACACATATGCATGTTTTTGCTTTGTTTAAATTTAGCTACAGGCCATGTGTACTTGCTGGAGAGACAGAGAAAAATGGGGGGGCAGGGGAAGTATCCCCTGGGAAAAATTGACAATACCACAATCCCTTCTTTATTATCCTCCTGGGGTTTTGCACATGCACAAACAAGTCTGGCATGGTTTTCAAGGTGCCACGTCCAGGGTTTGAACTTCACAGTCAGCTATGTGGGATGTAGCTGCCTTCACCACCACATCACCTACTTGGCCCTTCACAGGTGCTTAAAAATTATGTAGAATATATGAAAAAATGTAGGAATATATAGAAAATTTAAAAAAAATAGAAAATATGTAGAATATATGAAAGTATGTAGACTATATGAGAAAATAAAAATTTATAGAGGAACATGAAAAGACTTTATTACACACACCATATACAGAGATTAAGAAAACTCACCTTTACAAAGATGATCATTTTCCCAAAATTCACTTATAATGATATCCCATCAAAATTCCAGTAAGTTTTCTTTTCATGGAAAAATGGACCAAGAAATTCTTCAGTTTATCGAGAACACAAAATACATATACATAATTAGGTAAACAATTTCTGAATTAAGGCAATGAAAGTAACTAATATTACAAGTAAAATATCATGAAACCAAATTACAGTAAAATAGACAAAGACCAAGGGACCATAATATACCAAAACCCATAGATAAATTCATACTAAAATAGGAATTGTTGGGCCAGCCTATGGCTGGTGATTAAAGCAGCAGGATCCCACAAGGATGACTCCATGGCTCAAGTCTCAGATTTAATGTCTTGAGAAATATGCTGGGTGTGTTTGCATCTGTTCCCAGAATCCTGAAAGGAGAGAGACATGGAGGAGTAGGGATTGTGGAATGACTACTCCCCTTGGGAAGTACCTTATCATTTCCTTTGTCTCTCTCCAGTGATAAGCACACATGTTTTCTGGCAAAATTATAAAATAAAAAAATTTTAAAAAGAAACAAGAATTGTTTATTTACAGTAAGTGGCATTTAAGAATAAAGAGACAGATGTAAATTCAACTATGTGAATTATATTAACTGTACATCAATTAAATAATATAATCAAAGGTACAAACGGTCACACTGAATTCAAGAAAACATACACACTTTAATTTCAAAGATACAAACAGTCTGATAACTAAAAAATGGAAAACACATGTAAAAAGAACCATAACAGAGTGACATTAGCTGGACATCATATTTTATCATTATGAAATCATACTTTTATTAAAACTGTAATGAAATAAAATTATTACAAATAAATACGGACATTTTACAAAGATAAAAAGGTCAGGGGGACAGCAGGTGGCATGGTGGTTAAGGGTGCTGGACTCCCACATGGCTGACATGGATTGAGTCCCAGACCTGGAGGCTTGTAATCTCACTCCCTCCCCCCTTTTCTCTGTTTGTATCTCTCTCTGGAAATAGTAAATAATAAAAAATAAAGTTAAATAATTTTTTAAAAAAGAAAGATACAAGGGTCAATGCAAACATGACAACAATTAGAGATAACATGCACCTAGCAAAAAAGCCCCACATTAAACAAACAAACAAAAAAAAAGGTAAGGAAAAGGTATACTCTCCTAATATTCGAAGACATCCATATCCAGCTTTCAATAATTAGCAGAAGAACTATGCAAAAGACAGGAAAGAATAAGGAGAACTTGAACAAAAAACAACTTTAAACTCACGCCAGGTATGTGTGCATGCAGGCCCAAAATCCTAGGAAGAGAACGGAAGAGAAATGACTGTGGCATGGCCATCTCCCAGAGTGATTTCTCACTTTCTCTCTGTCTCTGAATGCACACACCCTATAGCAAAAATCTCTTTCTCAAAAATAAAATAAAATAAAATAAAATAAAAAACAGCTTCAGTAAATTAAGAAGACTGAAATTTTACCAAATCCGATCTCTAATCACAGCAGATTTAAAACTCATAATCAGTAACAGAAGAATATTTGAGAGGTTGACAAAAATGGACAAACTTATTCTCAAATAGCCAGTAGGTCATAGAAGAAATCACATGAGAAAACATTTTGAGATGAATGAAAATAAAAATACAATATACGAATATTAAAGACTAAAGAGATGCAGCTTAGCTGGAAATTTATAGTTGTATTGTCAATACTTTAAAACGAATTTCCTTAAGAAATTGAAATAAAGGAGAAACTAAATAAATCTCCCGAAAATAAAACAAAAAGGAAGAAATAATAAAGACTAGAGTTGAAAAGATAGAGTACTGAGAAAGTGGTGCTCCCTGACTGCTGCCATCAAAAATCCTGAGGTGGGACCATGGGAAGTGGGAAGCAACCACTCTGCCCACCAAGACTCCCAAATTCTGTGCCCAGTGATACCTCTCACGTTTAATACTGGGCCTTATTTAGTCCTGATTCTTCTAGGAGCTTGGTCTTTCCACACCCCTAGAGAGCTTTGGGGACAGTATGGGGGTCAGCACAGACTCCAGGAGGCACTTCCTAGAAAGAGGGATTGGGACAGAGACAAGGCTAGGTTTTCAGTCTGGAGGGACTGTGAAGTTCTCCTGGGACTTAAGGCAGAGACGGGGCTTTTCCAAGCTCCCATGAGTTTTTACAGCTTGGGTTTCAGTTGCTGTAGAATGTTTACAGTACTCTTATTATTTTCCTGGATTGGTGAAAAACATTAATGAAAATCAATATTTGGAGCATTCTACTTTTGAGTTCTCCTAAGCCGTCACCTCTGAGGTTTCCATTTCTGTTTACTAGAATATCTTATTCTGGTGGGATTTTCATTTTAACTCTATTCTCCAGGCTCCCTTTCTGGAACCATGGTGCCACTAACATTAATGTTCTAGACTTGTATTAGAGATGTGTTAACTGTTTTTCTATGAAAGCCCTCTCTACTATTTAACATTTCCTAGGGTCTTGCTGATCCATCTCAATCTTACCACCTTCTGCCTTCTGTAAGTTCTCCCAAACCTCCAAATGGCATCCAGTGGTTAACTACTTCAGGAGAAGGTAACATGACCGAAATTTTGTCCACGTGAGGAAGTAGGAACAGTAATTACTTGGGCCATGGAAAACTAAAAATCTTTCCCTTTCCAGACTCTTTTGCCTCTGCTCTGAAGCACTAGTACAGAGGTCAGGTCATAGGGGTATTCTTTCATGTGAGATTCCGATGCAAAAGGTGCCCTCCTTTTAACGTTGTAACACTGACTTTAATCCAAAGAAAACAGTACCATCATCAAGTATTCCAAGCTCCCTAAGAGAAATCACTGTCCCTGAAGGCTGGGATTTGTCTTTGCATAAAATTCTTTAAACTTACACAGGAGTGCTAGACAGGCCACACAAGTGCAGAAGGGAACCAGAAGCTTCACCTCTTTAAACAAACCAAGACAATCCACAAACACAACTGCCTCAGTAAGCTGTTCTCTGTAAAAAATCCAGTACTTCTGCAGGAACCTGTATTTTACTAGCATTAAAAATACGCTATTACAGATAGGTAAACGGAGTGAGATACAGGGCAGCGATGGGCTCCTGTGGCAGAGGTGGAAAACAAACTCACTGCTGACTGCCCCCCTCCCGCCCGACCCACCAGGCTCCAGCTGTCTACGGAGCTCTCTCCCTCATCCTCTTCCCTCCGCACCCCGTGGTCATCTTGGATTGGATCACCCAGATTCTGGAGCTTCTGCAACTCCTTTGTACACCTAAAGCACAAGCCCACTTCTTCTTTTTTTTTTTTTTTTTTTAGAGAGTTTTTTTTTCGCTGTAGGGCGCGTGCGCTCGCCAGACAGAGACATAGAGACAGAAAGCGAGAAATCACCCCCCCCAGGGGGATGGTCACGTCGCAATCCCTTCTCCTCCATTCTCCTCTCAAGCACAAATTCACTTCTGACCAAACCATTTTTGAATGCAAAGCCCAGCTCACCTCTTTTCCCGCCCTGGACCTGCAAGCTCAGCTCTCGCTCTCCGGAAAACGGCCCAAACCGGGGCTGCACATTCCGTCAGGAGCCACACCTCCCCCACCTGGCATCCACCCACGTTCCTACTCCCACCAAGAAAGGGTCCCTTGCACTCCCAGTGTCCCCCAAGAACCACAACAGCTTCTTTCACTCTCAAAGTTACCTTCAGAAACAAATTTCACTCCACGTCCTGCAGAGAACTTTCAGAAGAGCTGCCCTTCCATCCCCAACACAGCGAAATCAGTGGAGGTGCACATGCGCAGAAAGAACCCGGAAGAGCCGTCTTCGCTGTCCTGCACTGATGACGTCACAGGCGGAGAGACTACATTTCCCATGAGGCTCTGCGATTCTGTGTAGGCACCAAGGGTGAGTTCATGTGCTCTCTCAGCAGAGCGTCTTGTTACCAGGAGATCAAGACCTGGTGGGGGGTGGAATGGTCTCTATGCAGGTGACTGAGAGGTATGATTCTGGTTCTTTATCAAATTCTGGGTTGACATTTCGGTTGACATTTCGGGGATAATGCAACAATTCGCATGCGGGTTACTTAATGATTTTTTTTCTTTCTTTTTTTTTCAGAGATTTTCGCTATAGGGCGCGTGCGCTCGCCAGACAGAGAGAGAGAGAGAGAGAGAGAGACATAGAGACAGAAAGCGAGAAGTCACCCCCCAGGGGGGATGGTCACTGCCACAATCCCTTCTCCTCCATTCTCCTCTCAGGATCTTGGGCATGCAGGCACACGTGCCCGGTGTGAGTTCTAAGCCACCGAGTCCGGGATGCGAACCACGGTCGGTCGACTACATGGGAATCCAGCGACATAGTCATTACGCTAACTGCTGGTTCCTATCAATGATCTTCATAAGTAACTGCTGTTTTTTTATAGTTATTGCTGTGATAGAATCCACATCTATTTTTTGCACGTGCATCCTAAAGCATGAAAAATAATGTGTTTTTTTAAAATTTATTAACAAGGAAATGATTAATTGGGTAACTCTTGTGATTACCAAAATATGATTGTCCTCACCCTCTAAGCTAAGTTTGGAGTGTTCACTGACTATCACAGTTGGAAACCTCTTCTAGTGTATGTATGGAAAAAGATAGCAGGGTCAAAGGGTAGGTGCATTTCACAGTCTTGTGTCTGTTTATATTTCTACTGTCTGGTAATCATTTGCCCGAAAGCTCCCATGATTTATCTAGAAAACCTACTTAGTTATTCTGTGTCTTGTCTGTATGTGTGAGAGAGAGACGGACCTGATTTATTGACCTTTCTCTCCCACAAACCAGGCAAGGACTTTTGCACAGAGATTTCACAGAGCTTTTGTTACCACCGAGTTTCTCTTCAAACATGGAAATACCCATCTTGATTGATCATGGTTGATATGGACTTGAGTGAAATGATGAAATGGAGGGTAGGGTGAAAAGTGGGTTAAGACTGGGGATGGTCAGATAAAGGTTGTGAGGAACTTGATCTTGTTCAAGATCTATCGCCAGTTCTTGCTTTGTCTGTTATATATTCAGGCTTGTTCACATTCCTCTGTCTTCTCTGAATCTGCAGTTATCTTTTGGTGACTCTGTTCTACAGACCCAAGGAACTTAGTCTTGATCTTCACAGTACTCTCTCATCTCCTAGTTTTGAATCCCTAGCCACCCTTCCTCACACCCCTGGATCCTAGGTCTTTCTCTTAAATACCTCTTGGTATGATATTGGGGGATTTTTTGAATACAAGATTATTGGCAGGGGGTGAGTGGGGAGAATCAGTCTCTGACATTCCCCTCTCTGAAATATAGGTATCATTCTGTTTCTTTGTGGGCTTCAGGTTTACATCTATAAAAATGGAGACAATAATACACATTTGGGTGGGTAGACCTCACCTGTGGCTCTCCTCTAGTAACAGAAAGGTCAAGAGTACAATATCTTTCCTCATCCTAGGGTGATAAAATTTCCAGAGACATGGAAAGGAGGCTCAGAGATTATCATGAGGTGTTTCAAACATTAACACTGTAGTGTGGTTTTTAATGTTAAAATTTATATTGCATTTGTTAAAATTATTTGTAAGGGACCAGCTCCATGGCCTGTTGGTTGGCTGGCCTCACAATTTGAGCCCTGGACCTGGCTTGAGAAATATGCTGGGTGCATAAGCAGGCACAGCCAAAATCCCAGGAGGAAGAAGTGAGGAAGAAGGGATTGTAGCATGACCATGGCCCATGTGGGGTTCTTCTTGCTTTTCCTCTTTCTCTTTCTCTTTCTCTTTCTCTTTCTCTTTCTCTTTCTCTTTCTCTTTCTCTTTCTCTTTCTCTTTCTCTTTCTCTTTCTCTTTCTCTTTCTCTTTCTCTTTCTCTTTCTCTTTCTCTTTCTCTTTCTCTTTCTCTTTCTCTTTCTCTTTCTCTTTCTCTTTCTCTTTCTCTTTCTCTTTCTCTTTCTCTTTCTCTTTCTCTTTCTCTTTCTCTTTCTCTTTCTCTTTCCAGTGAGTACACATGTCCTTTAGCAAAGTTTGAAAAAGAAAATAAAAATATGATTAATCTTAATATATTGATTTTATGTCCTGTTACTTCCTGAATTTGCTTATTAATAGTGATAAGTTTGTAGGGAGTTTTTTTAATAACTTTCTAAATGCTAGGTTATGTCATCTACAAATAAAGGTAACTGTATGCATTTCTTTACAATGTAAATATATTTTTTTACTTATATCTGTACTGACTCTTCATAGTAGGCATCCTTTGAAGTTCCTAGTGAGTAACATGTTTCAGAGGCCCTACAGGGATGAAATTGTGCCCTTCTGTTCTGGCTTGGGACGTAGGCATCTTCCCACAATCCCTAATATGTCACAACTATACCTCTTAGTCTAATCAGGTGTATGTGCTTCAGTCACCGTGTCAGCTTGGGATTCAGAGATACAGACATTGTTGGCCCTTGGGGTAGAGTCTGTTTGGCAGTGGGTCTGCTTTCAATGTAGCATCATGCTGTAGTTGATTGGGGCCCAGAAGTTCCTTCCTTTGAGAATTGTAGTTTGTCTGGGCCTCAGAAATATCCTATACTAGGATGTGTGTGTGTGTGGGGGGGGAGGATTGCAGGGCTCTCCCACAGTTAGGTCCATGGAGGCTCTGGAGGCCTTTGGGATCCTCTCACTTAGTCTTTTCCAGTACTGGGGTATCTCTAATGTCCCAGACTAGGCCAAACTGCAAAGACTAGAACCAGTACTAGAACCAACTTCTCCAGTGTACAAACATTGACACATATGCAAGGATGAAGAATATGAGAACAACATAATGCTACCAATGGACAAAGTAAAGTGAAGGCACTGATATCAAAGGGAAGATGCAGGATCTTCATGACAGATGTCACAGTCATAGAAAAAAATGTTTGTTTTTATAGAGAGTTATTCTATAGAGTGCAGGTGCTTGCCAGAGATTTAGAGAGACAGAAAGCAAGAAATCACCCCATGGCCAGGAGTAGCCATGACACAATCCCTTCTCTTCTATTCTCCTCTCAGGATTTTGAACATGCAAGCAAATGAGCCCAACCTTGAGTTTCAATCCTGTGGATTCAGGACTCAAACCATGGTCGACCATGTAGGAGTCCAGTGACATAACCATTATACCATCTGCTGGTCCCCACAGTAATGATTTTAAGGAAGCACAATGTACAACAAACTTTTGATGTGTATGTCCCAAAGTTTCATGAGAGCTTTAAGGATCAGAAATATTAGCGGGGTATCTTTGGAATATACAGCTTTTTGAGGAGGCTGTTTTGTTTACAGTTTGAGTTTTACTTGCAGTTATGTAATCACTTATTCTTTTTTTAATGGCTCCTCTTTATTTTTTTTCTATTTTGTTTATTCAATTTTTTAAACTTTTTATTTAATTTTATTTATTATCATAACCTTTTTAATATTACACAGAATCACATATATGTTTACAGTGTATTACTTTTCTTTTTCCAGCATGATTACCATGCATATCAGTCAAGACAAAGACATTACTATCCACATCACCATCATCATGAAATAGCTTATCATCATTTTTTTCAGATTATTACTATTATTTATTCTCATTATTTTGTAAACTATCAATCACTGTATTTCATTTGGCTTATATAAAGAATTTATCCAACATGAAATACTTCTCAGACAAGTCCAGTTGAGAATACTATACATGTTATCAACAGATAATAAACCATTTCTGTGTCTCACAAATGTCATGCCTCTCTATTTGTTCTCTTGCTGTTCTTCTCTGTACTCTTCCCTTCTCCCCCGCCCCCACCTGTTCCACACTGTCTTCAGCATCTGTGGCAAGCACTGCATACTGAAGCCATCTTGAGCTATCCGCCATCTTGAGCTATCCACCATCTTGAAAACCATTAGGCTTCACTTCCTCACTGAGCAAACCATCTCTCAGAAATCTTGTGACCAACCATTCTCCCTGGAAGTGGTTGGGTTTCTAGGCAACGGGAGAGATCCACCCACATCAATGATTGGTTCATGCTGTTCTATCTCATTTGCCTTTCGGGCAGCCAATTGGTGCCCACCAGTGGTATATAACTCGCCATTTTTCTCAATAAACGGAAGTAGACGGAAGAAGACGACTTGATCAACACCTCGTATTGTGTGTGCGTGTGTTTGTCCCATCTCTCACTCCCTCCCCCAGGGAACCTGTTTGACTGTCCCGCGGGTTGGGACAAGCATCCGTAACTATTTTTTTGTTTGTTTGTTTCTTTTGTTGTTTTTTTTTAATTTTTAAAAATTTTTATTATCATCATAATCTTCTTTATATTACATTGGATTACATAGAACTTTACAGTGTATTACATTGCTTTTTCAAAAGGGAATGCCATGCATGTCAGTCAATACAGAGACATTAATCTCCCCACTTCATCATTCAATATCTTTTCTACATGTGATTTCACATAAGAAGAACTCAAGAAGTAGACAGTGCTGAGGTTAAGAGAAGAGGATAGAGAAAGATAGCAAGAGAACAATAGAGAGGTAGGACATTAGTGAGAAGCAGATATGGGGGCTTATTACCTGTTGATGATGACATGTATAGTATTCTCAACTGGATTGGTCTGAGAAGTATTTCATGATGGGTAAAGTCTTTTTACAAGCAAAATGAGAAATAGTGATTGACTGTTTTAAAAAATAATTAGCATCCATAACTATTATCACTTCTGTTATTCCCTCTATTATTTCAATTTCTACCATAAAGTATGGATAGTCAGTATATATTAAGTGGATACATGCAATATCTTTGTTTGATATCCTG